GTGGAAGGGATGGAAGTAAAGTAGAGTCTACGGTTGGTTACTCTTAAACATTGATGGAGGGTCAATGAAGTCCGATCAAGAATGCAAACGGGGAAAAGGGCTCTTGAGAGCCGCCGTATCCTTTTATTGCCACATTTGATGTGTGCCTTTGCTTACTTTTGATGAATTGGAATGAAAAGCTTTATGCTTATGTGAACTTTGCTGCTTGAGTGGTATTATCTCACTGGGCGTAAGCTCACTCTATTCCCTTTTGTTTTCCTTACAGGAAAATAAATACTTTTGGACTGGATTTGGTAGTTAGTTGCCGAATTGAGCTAGTTGGACATATCTTTTGTATAGCTCCTTGATTGAAACCCTAAATGTACTTTTGGAGTCCGTTTTCTCTTTTAATTTGGCAAACCGTACATGTATCAACTTTTGAATAACTTTTGTATGCCACTTTGGATTGTATATGCTTAATTTCAACATATAAATGTTGATGGATGCTTGGTGGGATTTTGACGTGTCGATTACTATTCATGACCGACTCCGGTTTCATTTTTTTTTTTATTTTGACTTGTTTACGCGCGTTTGTATGTTCCGAAACGTATTAGATCGCTCTAAACTTCACCGTTAGTCCTGGCGAGAGTTGGGCAGGCAGTCCGCTAACCCTTTTGGTTCGCCTTAGGGGAAGGTGGGGCCGTCACACCCTCCCTTCTTCCCCTTCTAATAAAGCTCTATTTTTCATCCAAGTTCAGATATGATGCTGGAAGAGAACATATTTCCATTTTGCAATAAGTCCCGGATAGACTTGTTGACCTGGGACTATTTCTAGCAGATTTGCATAGTGACTCGACTAAACTACTAAATCAGAGGTCTACTAGTCGAATCGATTAGACTGTTCTCAAAATCCTATTGATGCCGGCATGATGCCACAATTATTTTTATATTTTTATAAGTTTCAAAAATATTGAAATTAAGTTCTTGGTTATATTTCGACCAACTATATAAAATGTTCCAAAAACATTAGGCTTGCAATCAAATATATAACTAAAAATTATATATAAAAATGTGAATTCATGTTTAAAATATATCTATTCTCCAAAACGATTTGAAAAACTAAATTAAAACAAATCATACCCAATTTGAAATTATTTTTGTTGGGAATATGGCTCTCTAATGTGAGTAGGAATCACTGATAATAAATTAATAAGATGACAAAGATGAAAACTTCTTGGTTTAGAGATTGTTTTGGGGTGTGAGTGATTTTGGTGTTTATACTAAGTGGATGGTTTTTTTTTATTCCTATTAGTAAATGAAAATTTTATAATTTAGGTAGTTCAAATTATGTTTGAAAAAAATAAAAAATAAAAGTTTGAGAACCGAGTCAAACAATTGAATTGGGTTATTGGTTTTATTGATTTTTTATGATTTTAACTGATTTTTTACCAAAGTAATTTTGTACTGCTAACCATCTCGGAAGAAAGCTAGTTCATGGTCTGACCAATTGATCCGGTTCGGGTCTAACAATACTGTTTCTAGCAATGGGAGTTATCCTATTACAATCGCACAGTAAAACAAAAGGACTCTTTACACATGCATCAGCACTCAGTACCACCACCACCTTGCAACCATCAAATTTATCACAGAATGAATAACTATAGGTAATTGGTGGGAGCTCAATAATGGTGCAATCAACTAGATTCCACTAAACCTAATCATCGTCGCCTTAAAACAAAAATTCACGTTTTGATCTATAACAATACATTTTGGTATAGGCACCCTAATTATGTAATTAGTTAAGAGTTTCTGCTGCTTAACATACTAAAATTAAGGCCTTCAAAAAAAATTGAAATTAAGAAAGTATGAAATAGCAAATTGTGCCTAGATATGTGGAGTTATACTATAGGAACACCATACATATATTATTACCTTAAAAATGCATGACCTACGTGGCAATTGTGCTTTTAAGTAATAATGAAGATGGGAGAGCAGGAAGAAAGAGGAAAGCAAGAGGGTAGAGGGAGGAGGAGGAAGGGAAAAAAGAAAGGAGGTGATGGTGATTGATGGGAGACAAGGGAAAGGGAAGGGGGCGACGGGGTAATGGTAGGAGACTACGGAGGGTGGTGGGTTTGGTATGGGGAAGGGATAGTGTAGCAGTGGTGGGGATTGGGAAAGGTGGCAGAGGAAGGGATGTGGTGGAGATGGGAGGACATGTTTGGTAGGGAGGGTTGAGGGAGGGGGAGGGGTGAAAACTTATTTAAAAATTTTAAAACTATCTCTAAAATTTTTAAAACACTTCATTTTATGTGGATCCATCTACAGCTCTTAAAAATATCCTTGTTTAACTAATAAATTAGAACTTGGATGGTTTTAGGTGGTGGCTCGCTGTAAAGGAACCGAATTGGACTTTTTTTTTTGTCGATAACATAGCTTCTTACACTATGAGGAGGGGAGGGCCTGAAGAGGCTTTGGGGTAATCTGGAGGGGACTGAACCACCACCGGACCAGACGGGTGCAATACGCACCCGCCTGGATTTTTCAAACAAGGCCATGTTTAATTGTGGCAAATTGGTGGGAGACAAGGGTTCACCAAACTTTAATGCATTGGTGGTGGCTACTAGCCCAAAGGCTGGTGGTTGAATCGAATTGGACTCAAAATTTAAATTTAAGGACCACATTGGCCAAAACTAAAATTTAAGGACTAATCAGCTTTAGCAAAAATGTTCAAGGATAAAATTAACCAATTTACCCTTCTTTTCCCTCTTGATTAAGAACTTGGATATCAATTTGGAAATATTTCACTTTGCAGCGGCAATTATATTGCTCCTATTAACATGGAACTATGGTTAACCATTGTCACCTAGATCACAATCACAGTCACGGTCTCAGTTGTTCCAATTCATCATGGCATATCAGTTGCATGGAACTGACAAAACATCTATTAAATCCATAACCAGACATTCTGGGTTATCGTTATGAGACATATGGACGATAGCATGATCCAAGGACCTGCAATGTTTGATCATGCAGGATTTGCAACCGTGTGTTCAGTGCTCCTAAATGCTTTGTTCCACTTGAAGGAGGACGTCGTACATGTCTAGGATGACTTGCAAAGATTGAGAATTTAGTCACAGTATATCATTCGGTTATTTAGTTCACGTGGAAATTTTGTGCTGCACCGACAACTATTTTAGAAGGGATCCAATGCCAATGCCTACTAAAGGACTCCCAATCCAAATAACCCGCAAGATAGGATTCCACCCTGGACAAAGTTATAGCAGTATTAAAGAGCACAAACAGGCATATCTAGTATGCTACTGGTTTTGATGGATGCATTATATTTTCCATTAAGCAGATTTTAGTAGCGGAATCAAACAAGCTAACACAATTACCCCATACAAGATACAGAGGACAACAATTAAGATGAGCTCTTGAACAGGATTCTCAAGATTAGCAATTGATATCATAGTTGTAACAGGGCAAGAGAGTCCCACCTTGCATGATGAAAATCAAAACTCCCTCAGTTTTCAAAATGCCCGCTTTTTCTTCATAATGAAGTAAAAGGAGGGGAGTAGGGTGTAGACAATGGAATTTTAATTAATTAAAAATTATCATTAATTTATAAATTATTTTTGTGTCTTTATTTTATCTAATAGAATATTGTGATATGTCATGCATATCTGGAGGTTTTGTTATTAGATAGCCATTTATGTTTCTTCACGTGGCTTGTTAGGCTGTTTTGACCAATTAAATATGTTGGAGTGTCTCTACCAATCAAATCATGCCATGTCATGTTTGTGACTTGGCAAATTAAGAATAAATATCTAAATTTTTGTTAAAAGGACAACATTTAAAGTTATTTAATGCTTATATATGTCTTATATTCAATGAATTGTGTCGTGTTATGTATTTCTACAACCTAGCCAATCACAATCAAGGATGCATATGTTAAGTATTACCTCTTTATTAATAAATAAAAATGAGAGAGATAACATTTAAGGTGGTGTAGCCCTTATATGCTTGCATGTTTTCAAGATAGAATTTCTTTTTTTATTTTTTTTGAAAGATAAGTAAGATGATGTACATGTCTTCAAACTTCTGCCCTTTTATACCTATACCTATGCCCAAATATAGGATTTTCTCTAAAGAACATACACGTATCCCATCTTTAAGTTCCAACGCAACAGAGTCTTCAAGTTTTCTTCGAATCTTATTGCATTTTTTTTTATCATATCAAGGCTTGAAATAGGAAACGGTTTCTACTTAATTTAACCATTCTCACGAAAGGCTTTCTACTTAATCTGAACCATTCTTTTCGAAAAATCTTGAACACTCAAAAAACCCAAAATTGATCAGGCAAAAATACTGTAGAACTTAAGTTGAATAACATATGATACAATTTCCTGATTAAATAAATTTCAATGCAATGTGAAAATTGGGATTAGGACGGCAAAAGAGTTTAGTCGAATCGAATTTTAATTTAAACGAGTTGAATTTCAATTTAATTTTATCAAATTTGAATTCGAACTCGACGAGTTTTTAATGTAAAACTTAAACTCGAGTTTGACCCCAAATTCAACCCGAGTCGAGTTTGAGTTTAAAAAAATAAAAACTTTATTTTTAAAAATGAATAAAACAGTAATTTTTCTTAATAAATAATAAAATATTAGAGATGTATATAATTTTTTATTAAAACAAAAAAATAAAAAATATAAATATAATCGAAGTAAATTACAAACTAACGATTAAGTCGAGTTTCGAGTAGCTCGAGTCAAACAGCTCGTGATAAGAATGACTCCACTCATATGCAGCCTTGGTGGGACATTTCATATTCATATTACATGTGAATTTACGCCTTTGGAGAGCCGACCCATCACATGCCGCGATATGAGTTGCCTAATATTGTTTGGCAAAGGATTTGCTATGTTTTAACTTTGTGGGGTCTCAAAGTCCAATCCATCACATGCCGTGATAGTGAGTGGATTATAAGTACTCCGACGAAGGTGCTTCGTATGTGGTCACTTGACCGGATGCTCCCCTGGCTTGCTCGCTCCCTCCCAAATTTCTGTGTAAACATCCAGAAAATAATTCATCAAACCCTTCCGTATGGCAGGATCCAACTGTTTGACAAGGTCCTATTTAACACTGACACTGGCTTTGCTTATTATCGATGCCCAAAAAATCAGTGGTCAATACGAGTTCTTCCGGCTAGTTTCATTCTGGGGTCCATCACGTTGTAGCCTAAACCCATGCAAGCGAACACCGCCAGTACCCAAGTTTACGTTGCATGGGCTCTGGCCAGATAATTACACGCAACCTTTGTATAATTGTGGCGGCACCCGTTACATACCACTAAAGGTTAAAGACTTCATACTAGTAATTTATATAATTATAGTACATTTGACATGCACGCTATAGTTTATTCAATTATGCCATCTGTCTCTTTTTGCATATCTTCAATTCCCATAAATTGTTTAATTTATATAATACATAAATTTCCCCAGTATTTCTTCACTATTACAATCACTCTACCAACAATTACTTTCTGCATATCATCACTTCTAGTAAAGCTTCTATTAAAGTGTTTTATATGACAAAAGTTTTCCTTTTTGGACATGATTATAAAAATTTTAAATTGTTCTACTTAACAAATATAAATTTACAATATTAACCCCTAAAAAAATTATTATATACTAGCTAAAAAAAGATAGAACCATACTATTTTCATTCGCTTAATGGAATTAATTTTTTTAATATGTAAGTGGGTTTTTGTAGGATCAGCGAAGCATAAATGCACGGGATAATTATTGGTATGACTATTTCTTGTCAAAACCCCCATCTGCAAAAGGTAATTGGCGCATTGAGCAGAACTTTTGGGCCATGGAATGGAATCGTCATGGCACATGTTCGGAGAATGTTTTCAACCAACAAAACTACTTTAATCTAGCAAAGACGCTGATGTTTACCTATGATCTTACGTATATATTCTTTAACGCACGATCTCCAATCCAATTGCCGTGGCCTAGAGTTCGGGACGTCATGTTGGCCATCTCCAAGTTTACTCAAGCTAGGCCAGAGTTGCGGTGCCGCTATTATAACAACAACAAGATATTGATGGAGGTGGTCCTTTGCTATGATGTTCTAGGAAAACGAGTGATCAATTGTACTCGTCCAGGTAATGTATTTTGTGGAAGAAGGTCAAGTAGAATCTATCTACCAACGAACTTTTAATTATTATTATTGTTAAGCGGAATTACTTGGAAGGATATGGTTCAGAGTAGAAGCATGCGACATTTTCTATTTCTTACTTCTTCTTCTTCTTTTTAATAAATTTGGTGTTTACGCTAGCTTGTTCTTTGTTCTGTTGTTACTGAAGAGAAATGCTAGATGATGGTAGTGAATTTTTATCATCCTCGTTTCGTGCTATTTTTCCACGAGAGCTTCCCTACAGTATCTTCACTCAACAACAACAGTATCAAAGTCGTTGGAAAAACGGAATTGGTGCAAGCAAATAGATATCAGAGTAAATCACAATTCAGAAAAAATTCTCTCTTCCCAACTATTAATTAAAATGAGATCAATCAAATTCACCAGGCAACAAACAATAATATCAATAATAATAATAAATAAGAAAAGTAAACAAAGTACAGGACACGAAGATTATAACTTGGAAATTCCAAATTTAAAAAAAGGGGAATCCGAAGCACCCAAATGACAACACCATCAACAGTATCAATCAGGTGAATCGATTACAATTTCTCTGCCACAGCTTTGCTCTTTTCATTTGTTGACGATGCTCATGGCTGCTATGCTTCTAAAATCAAGTCACAAGGACTTGGGCTCTGCATGAATTAAGTATTTATAGAAATGTTTTTCAAAATCTTATTATTGTTATAAAACTAATACTAATGTGATGTTGTTATGAAACAACTAAAATGTGGATGTCTCTTTATATTCCCAAGAGAATTAATTCATGATTTATGGCTACATTATGTATAGAAATTACAATTCATAAATCTATTCATGTAGTGGAGAAACCGTTTCATAGATTTCTTCATATTTTTGTAGTAGTGGATGTTTAATCTTGTAGTATCTATATATAGAGGTACATTGACACCCTTTAGAATGACTTTTGTATTTTGTTGAAATATAAGGATATCATTCTCCCTTTCTCTATTTCTTTCTCTAATACTTCTTCAATTCCTATTGTAATATTTTATTTTATTAGTTTTATAACACGTTATCAGCATGAGTCTCTATTTTTGAGCAAAAGGTGAAAACGGAGACTCTACCTTGAACAAAAGTGAAACAAGAGATTTTGCCAAAATTCTACCTGCATTTTTTCAAGTAACTTCTGAGGTAAATTTCTGACCCCCCCAAACTTATTTCAATTTCTTATGGCTAACATTTGAATGATCGAAAAATACAAGTGCCTATTGTTGAGCAATCACTAAACACAAACATATATTGTTTGACATCTTTGAGGTAATATTTCTCCTTTTAATTCTACTTATTTATCTTTATAATTATTTATTATAAATACTTATATTCTAATGCATTGAGTTTTGGAGATGCTATTATAGAAAATCAATTATGTTTGATAATTCACTTGTCCTTTGAAATACTTAAAGAAAAAGATTCAACCGCCTGAAGATGGTCGTCCTTTAACGAAAATATTTGGCCACTAGAAGATGGTCATTATTTCAAAAGCCTGGTATGATAAATTTACCTGTGGCTACAAGAACATAATTATGCAATTTTCAGAATTACTTCTCAGTTGAAATTGTGTTGAGAAAATTTTACTCATAAGATATATTGAAAATGATATTCTCCACAATTAATTTCTCGAATATGCTCCTATAGTAGCTATATTAAGAGAAATTTTGAGAAGCATTTTGTACTTATTGCATGCTAATTCTAGTCCATTCCAAGAAGTGAATGCGACTAAATTTCAATTTATTAGTTATGGTTGCTGCCATGACTATGATTTTGGTAAATATATATTCTACCATGATAAGAGAAAAAATTACCACTTGAAGTGGGATAATAATGATGAGGACAAGAAAGTAAGGATCCTGAAGATAAATGTCTCGAAGCACATATGAGGAATCAAAATTATAATAGCATCTTCACATGGCCAATTTCTTTAAACACTCTGAAGGTGTATGACGCTTGATTTAATTTATGATAGCAATTGACTTTTTTTCCTAAAGAAAAAATGGATGTTAAATATTTGGGATCAAAGAATTATGGTGATGATATTTGTCCCATAAGAATTATGGTGACAATGATATGTGTCTCATTAACAAGTGCTACTATATACACTATATTCCAATGAGAGAGACAAACACAATAAGTGGTAGTGCTTAAGTGATTGAAAGCTCCAAAAGAGCCAATGATATATTTCTCCCTGTAGGAGAAAAGTTTATGATAAATGAAGCACTACTTTTTACCATGTCTCGAAGAATTTATTGAATTTGAATATTCATCGAAATGGATATCAAATTGAGACACTAAATGAGATAATAATATAATTATGTTTAGAAACAAATGAGATAAAGGTTAATTATATCATAATAACCATTCGAGAGAGAAATGGTTATCGATATAGTTGTTTTCATTCTCATTTGATTTATAATTATCACCTGTAGTAAACCAGAAGTTTACTGATCCCAATGAATATATGATTTAACAAAAGTAAGAATATTTGAGAGCCGATAAGTATTTATACATACCCCATTTATATTATATATGGCTCCAAAAGAAATTTAAAATTTATGTCGGATATGAATCACCTTTTACGATTAAATATCGTAAAATATTGATGGGTGATCTATTGAATGATTTATTTATTCTGATGAGTTACGATTCCTGACATTAGGGGGAGGAAAAGATCAACCGAAAGGAAATCATTTTAAAAAATTGAATTTTCTCGATTCTCATACAAAATAATGTGAACTAGAAGTTCAAGAAATTATTCATTTGCAGAAAACTGCAAACCAATTGTCAAATATATTATCGACTCCAGAAGAGTCATTAAATCAACTATTCCTGCAGGAAATACTCTGGTTAAAATTGATGTCCCTGAAGGACATGCATAAGTGCTACAAATAAATTTAAGGTCGGCCTACCTAAATAAGGTATAAATTGATTTCAAATATCTCTGGAGATTCAATAAATGTCATGACAAAATTCAACCTCTTGAAGAGGTTGCTCCTGAAGAGCCAACTCCTGAAGAGAATTAAATCATAGAAAATTTAATTGGAGCCTAATGAAATGTAGCACTTGATATTTTAGAAGTTGATGAGGATCATGAATCTATAGTGGTTGATGAATGTCGGTATAGAAATGATTGTTCAAAGTGGAAAGATACGATCCAATCTGAATTGGATTTATTGGTTAAAAGAAAAATTTCTGGACTTGTAGTCCAAACACCTAAAGGTGTAAAGCTAGTAGCTTAAAGATTTTCACAAAGGCTTGAATTTGATTATGATGAAATGTATTCACCTGTAGTGGATGCTATCACATTTAGATATCTTGTGAGTTTTGCAGTACATGAAAAATTAGATATGCGTCTAATGGACGTCGTTACTGCATATTTATATGAAAATCTTGAAAATGATATTTATATGAGAATCTCCGAAGGATTCAACATGCCTGAAGCATGCAAATCAAATTCTAAAGATATTTATTCTATTAAATTACAAAGGTCTTTGTATGGACTCAAACAATCTAGACGTATGTGGTATAACCGTCTCAATGAATGTCTAACTAAAGAAGGTTATACCAATGATCCAATATGTCCACGTGTTTTTATCAAGAAAAATGGATCAAATTTTGTGATAATTGCTGTATATGTTGATGATCTAAATTTAATTGGAACTCTTGAAGAGATTCAAAATATTATTGAATATTTGAAGATAGAATTTGAGATCAAAAATTTTAGAAAGATAAAATTCTGTCTTGGTTTACAAATTGAGCATTTGAAAAGTGAAATTTTTATCCACCAAACTGCATATACCTAGAAGGTATTAAAGCTGTTTTATATAGATAAGGCACATATATTAAGTACTCCAATGGTCGTCAGATCATTAGATCCTAAAAAGGATCCTTTTAGATCGCAAGAGGAAGATGAAGAGATACTTGGTCCTGAAGTACCATATCTCAGTGCAATTGGCGAAGAATATTGGAATGCGACGATTAAAAGATCTCAAATGATGTTTGCATCAGGGGGAGAAATTAATACACAAGAATAGTGTACTCTTTTTTCTTCACTAGGGTTTTTGATCCCACTGAATTTTTCCCTAGTAAGGTTTTAACGAGGCATATTTTTTGTGTAATGGACATCCAAGGGGGAGTGTTATGAAACAACTAAAATGTGGATGTCTCTTTATATTCCCAAGAGAATTAATTCATGATTTATGACTACATTATGTATAGAAATTACAATTCATAAATCTATTCATGTAGTGGAGAAACCGTTTCATAGGTTTCTTCATATTTTTGTAGTAGTAGGTGTTTAATAAGATTAATGTACCTTTAATCTTGTAGTATCTATATATAGAGGTACATTGACACCCTTTGGAATGACTTTTGTATTTTGTTGAAATATAAGGATATCATTCTCCCTTTCTCTATTTCTTTCTCTAATACTTCTTCAATTCCTATTGTAATATTTTATTTTATTAGTTTTATAACAGATGTAGGATTCGAGTTGTTTATATGGTGAGTAATATACTAAGAGAATAAGAAAATTAAAGAGCTCAGGATAAAAGAAAAGTAAGAAAGTACTATAATTTTATTCACTCAAATGAAATTTTAGTTTTCTATCATTTTGTTATAAAAAGGGTAACCTCTACTTATAGGAGAAAGTAAGCAGTTAACTTTTTCAAAATGGTGATATAATCTTCTAGTAAGATATGATAGGTTTATCGATAGTTGTATAGTTTTATCAAAAGTCGTCATAACTTTATCAACAACCATATAACTTTATCGAAAATCGTAATAGCTTTATTAAAAATCGTACTATCTCTATCATCTCAAAAGTCGTGATAGTTTTATCACCTCGAATAACGTGAAATATTTATCACCTCGAACTCGAGCTAAGAATATTAAACTCGTTAGCTCGCGAGCTTGAGTATATATATATATATATATTTTTTTATTTAATAATAAAATTACGTATATTATATATATTTTTTATTTTTATAGTAAAATTACGTATATATCCTTAATATTTTATTATTTATTCAGAAAAAAATATTATTTTATTTATTTTTTAAAAAATAAAATATTTATTTTTGATTTTTTTTCGAGCTCGAGCTCGAAAATTGGCGGCTCGTCGAGCTCGAGCTCGAGTTTGGTAAAATTTATCGAGACTCGGCTCGATTAGCTCAAAACTCGACTCGAC